CATCCCCACCCTCCACCCCTGCCTGCCTCTATCGCAGGTTCTTTTCTTTTCTCTCTTTCTCTCTTACTCTCTCTTTTACTTTTGGGCATTGTGATTTACTGTAAAGATACTGAAAGGTCCAACAGCGGGTAGGGCGTTTGCCTTGCACGCAGCCAACATGGCCGAGCCACATTCGATTCCTCTGCCCCTCTCGGAGAGCCCGGCAAGCTACCGAGAGTATCTCGCCCACACGGCAAAGGCTGGCAAGCGACCCATGATGTACTCGATATGCCAAACACAGTAACAACAAGTCTCATGATGGAGACGTTACTGGGCCCGCTCGAGCAAATCAATGAACAACGGGAGGACCGTGACCGTGACCATGACCATGATACTGAAAGGTTATCAGGAATATCCCTTTATCTACTTTTAACATGTTTTAACAGTTCTTGTCCTATGTGACCATTTCCAGCTTTTTAACACTCAGTTCTTGTCCTACATGATAATTTCCAGCTATTATTGTCATACTTTACCCTTCTCTATCTTACTTACGCTCTGTCCCGCACACCCTTGGAGTTGATTCCAATCATTGACTAGTCGTTCTAGCCCCTGTTTTCCCTGGCCATGGATATTAGTCTTCTTAGAAAACTAATATATATATATACATATGTGTATGTATATATATTAGAATACATATACATTTGAAGAGTTATAATCACTGTATCACTGGCATTCCATTGTTCATTGCTTTGCTCGAGCAGGCACCAGTAATGTCTTCATTCATCCTAGCCCTGAGATTTTAGCAAGTGCCACATTAGAGGCTCTTTCAGGGTCAGGGGAATAAGACCCATCATTGTTACTGGGTATTGGCATATCTAATACACCACGGGAAGCTTGTGAGACTCTGCCATGCAGGCAGGATACTCTAGGTAGTCTCCCGGGTTCTCTTAGAGCGAGAACCAGACAATAGCATCCTTTAAGCTCCCCACGTGATATTCCCCACATGTAGGCCAATCTGGGGACCCTCCTCTAGTGTCATAACAGATGAAAGCTCTTATAGTGTTTATAAACATGCCAGGGAGGGGCTGAAGCAGTAGCACAGTGAGTAGGGCTTTTGCCTTGCACGCGGCCAACCCAGCTTCGATTCCCAGCATCCCATCTGGTCCCCTGAGCACCACCAGGAGTAATTCCTGAGTGCAGAGGCAGGAGTAACACCTATGCATTTCCAGTTGTGACCCAAAAAGCAAAAAACAAAACAAAACAAAAACATGCCAGGGAGGGAGAGAACAAGCTTTTGAACCGAATGAACCTGCATTGACTTAAAAGAAAAACAACCATTCCCAAACAGTTGTCAGGTGAGCTACTTCAAGGGCATTTTCTCAAAAGTTCTAATCTAAGATTTCTGGAAACTTTCTCCTTTTTTTGATTTCTGGAAACTTTCAAGCTCTGAACTTCAATAGTCAGATTTCTTACCTCTCTCAGACTGTGCCTTCACTTGGCAGTGAGCAGAAGTGTTTGGAATTCTGGTCAATCCTCTGCTTATACATCTTGCACATGAAGAACAGTTCCACACTCTGGGACTGAGGGAGAAGAGAGGGGTGAAGGCGCACGCCTCGCAGGCAGCTGACCCTATTTCAGTGACAAGTGCCATCTCGTTCCCCCAATGCACCACCGGGTGTAACTCTGGAGGGTCCTTGGCAGCTGTCCTGTCATCACATGGCTAGAGCAGCACTACGTTCTTGGGCCCCTCATTCAACTACCAGCCCTGTTCACCAGAATTTCTGGAGGAGGGGGCAAAGCTCTTGAACACCACTTGGGAGGTGCCCCAAAACTTAACACCCTGTAAGACACGATGCCTTTTTTTAATCACCATGAGGGCTTTGGCATATCTAATACACCACAGGGACCTTTCATGTTTGAGTTACAATTACACAATGATCAAACACCCATCCCTCCACCAGCGCACATTCCCCACCACCAATATCCCCAGTATACTCCCCCATTTCCCACTCTCCCATGCCTCTGTGGCAGACAATTTCCCCCATACTCTCTCTCTCTCTCTCCCTCTCTTCACTTTTGGGCATTATGGTTTGCAATGCAGACACTGCGAGATTATCACGTTTGGTCCTTTATCTACTTTCAGCATACATCTCCCATCCTGACCGATCCCTCCATCATTTTCGTAGTGATCCCTTCTCTATTCCAGCTGCCTTCTCCCCCTTCTCATGAGGGAGGCTTCCAACTATGGAGCAATCTTCCTGGCCCTTGTGTCTACTACTGTCCTTGGGTGTCTCATTTTATGTAGTATAAAATAACATAACATGAGACTGACACCCAAGACACGATGTTTTGTAAAGCAAAAACAGCAGTGCCGCCTTGACTTCTTCTTCTTCTTCTTCTTCTTCTTCTTCTTCTTCTTCTTCTTCTTCTTCTTCTTCTTGTTTTTAATTTTATTGAATCACTCTTATATAGTTACAAGCTGTCATGTTTGGGTTACAATCACACAATGATCAAACACCCATTCCTCCACCAGTGCACATTCCCCACCACCAATATCCCTGGTATACCTCCCCTTCCTAACCATCCCCCTGCCTCCATGGCAGGCATGATTCCCCATAATCTCTCTCTACTGTTGGGCATTACGATTTGCAATACAGACACTGAGAGGTTATCATGTTTGGTCCTTTATCTACTTTCTGCACACATCTCCCATGCCGACCAATTCCTCCAGCCATCTTTTTCTTAGTGATCCCAACTCTATTCCAGCTGCCTTCTCCCCTTTGCTCATGAAGCGGGCTTCCAGCTATGGAGCAATCTACCTGTCCCGTGTATCTAATATCCTTAGGTGTCAGCCTCATGTTATGTTGTTTTATACTCCACAAATGAGTGCAGTCTCCTTCTATGTCTGACCCTCTCTTTCTGACTCATTTCACTTAGCATGATACTTTGCATGATACTCTCCATGCACAGCCCCAAGGGGGTTCAGTTTGCTTAATGCAAGGCACATAATGGGCTTATTTTTTTTAAAGATCCCTAGGTAATTCCCAGGTTCAGCCAGCTGTGGAAACCACTGCAAAGGTGGCAGGGCTTCTTGTCTTGTGCTCTCAGGCAGCGTCAATATCACCCAGGAACTTTTCTTTTCTTTTCTTTTCTTTTTCTTTTTTGAAATCAGTACTATTTTTGAAATCAGTATTATTTTTATTTATTTATTTTTTATTAGTGAGACATCATGAGGTACAGTTGTAGACTTACAAATTTTTGTGCTTGGGTTTCAATTATACAATGATCAAATACCCATCCCTCCACCAGTGCCCATTTCCTACCACCAAGGATCCCAGTATCCCTCCAACCCCCCACCCCCCATCCCACCCTGCCTCTGTGGCAGGGCATTCGCTTTTGTTCTCTCTCTCCTCTTGGGTGTTGTGGTTTGCAAGAGGCAATGGGTGACAATCATGTTTGGTCTATAGTCTACTTTCAGCATGCTTCTCCCATCCTGGGAGGATCCTCCCAACACCATTTATTTGGTGTTCCCTTCTCTATCTGAGCTCCCTTTTCCCCTAGCATGTGTGGCTGGCCTCCAAGCCATGGAGTAAAATTCCTGGTACTAATCTCTGCCATTCTTGGGTACTAATCTCGGCCATTCTTGGGTGTTAGTCTCCTATTTTGTTACTTTATGTTCCCCAGATGAATGCAATCTTTCTATGTCTATCCCTCTCTTTCTGAGTCATTTCGCTTAGCATGATACTTTCCATGTAGTACCACTTGTATGTAAATTTCATGACTTCATCTTTTCTAACAGCTATATAGTATCCATTGTGTAGATGTGCCAAAGTTTCTTTAACCAGTCATTTATTCTCGGGGAACTCAGGTTTTTTCCAGGTTCTGGCTATTGTAAAGAGTGCTGCAATGAGCAAACAATTGCAGATGTCACTTTGACTATAATCTTTTGCCTCTCTGGGATATATTCCCAGGAGTGGTATTGCTGGGTAAAATGGGAGCTCAATTTCTAATTTTTTGAGAATCGTTCGTACTGTTTTCCAAAAGGGCTGAACAAGTCTGTATTCCCACCAGCAGTGAAGGAGGGTCCCTTTCTCGCCACATCACCCGGGAACTTTTCCAACTGTAAGTGATTGTACCTCCCTCCTGGCCCAACTGCCTCAGAAATACACAACGGTGCAGCCCATCAAATGGATTTAGTAATGCCCACCAGATGACTGACTCTAGAACACCCTCAAGCCTGTGATCTCTCTACTTAACAGGTTTAAGGATGAAAGGTTAACAGTGCCTCCGAGGCAGTTCTGTTAACCTATGACAATTTCAGTGTTTTGAGCCGGTCATCATGTGTCTGTAAGTGGTGTTGATAGTGAACTTCAGGTTCTTTGTAGTAAAACTGGATGTAGAAATATATGTGTTGTACAAAATAAAGTAGTATATAAATACTGTCACTATCACTGTCCTCCCATTGTTCATCAGTTTGCTCAAGCAGGCCCAGTAACGTCTTCATTGTGACACTTGTTACTGTGTTTGGCATATCGAATATGTCACGGGTAGCTTTGCTGTGCAGGCGAGATACTCTTGGTAGTTTGCCGGCTCTCCGAGAGGGGTGGAGGGATCAAACCCAGGTTGGCCTGGTTGGCCGCGTGCAAGGCAAATGCCCTACCAGCTGTGCTATAGCTCTGGCCCTCCAGAGGCCACTAGACTGTCAGGTTTGGGCCTGCGGTGATGAGACACGTGGGGCCTCACGGGATGGGGATTGTTTGTTTGGGGGCCACATCTGGCGGTGCTTAGGGATAATTCCTGGCTCTGCACTCAGGAATCATTCCTAACATGCTCTGGGGACCATGTGGATGCCAGGAATCGAACCTGGATCAACTGTGTGCAAGATCTAAGCAGGCAAGTTCGCTCAAGCTGGGTAATCATAGCAGAAGGTGGATTCGATCCCTGTGAATGTGTTTGCTCTCACGAACATGCGATGAGAAGGCTGATCATATAAATATGGCAGGCTTATAAAATGCTGCCACGTATTCGCTTTGGCAGCACATATACTAAAAGTGGAATGATACAGACAAGATTAGCATGGCCCCTGCACAAGGATGACACATAAATTCATGAAGCGTTCCATATTAAAAAAATGCTGCCACAACACCCCCACCCACCCAATGCTTTCACTTTTAAGGAGGGAGAGAGGATGTGTAGTGGCCAAAAGAAAATCACAAATCACAAATCATCCTGTTATTCGTCGATTGCCTCGAGCAGGCCCCAGTAACGTCTCCTTCATCCTAGCCCTGAGATTATATTCAAGGTTCTTTAGGAGAATGAGACCCATCATTGTTACTGTATTTGGCATATTGGGTACACCACGGGGAGTTTGCCAGACTCTGCCAGTTTGTACAAAGTAGGAATGAGATCATAAGATGTCATAATAAGATGTCGCGCGGCCACAAATGCGGCTGTGCAGTTCCAGGAGCTGGTTTTTATAGTCTCTGAGTCTTGGCCGTTGATGGGATTACACGGAGCCAGGGGGCCAGTTGGTGGGTGTGACCCCTGCCTACTGGAATTTGGCGGATCTGGGTGGAGAATGCTCGACCCAATCCAAGTAGGCTTGGAGATCTCGGCCCCGGAACTCGCGTGGCTTTGTCCCTCTGCCAGTACCTTCATGTGTGCGGAGAGTGGTCTCAGCATGGTGGTAGCTGGTCCTGGAGGTCTTCAGCTGCCGGAGCCCTGGTTGGGGCAGGGAGGAAAGCTCAACCCGCTCCCCTCCAAGGGGCTGCGGCGAGGACAGCCAGGCACAGGGGCAGGAGACTGCACTGGTCTCTTCCGGGAGCTGGTTTTTATAGTCTCTGAGTCTTGGCCGTTGATGGGATTACACGGTGCCAGGGGGCCAGTTGGTGGGTGTGACCTCCACCTACTGGAATTTGGAGGATCTGGGTAGAGGATGCTCGACCCCAATCCGAGTAGGCTTGGAGGGACAAAGTCACACGGGTTCCGGGGCCGAGATCTCCAAGGGCAAAAGAACCACATTGAGAATTCAAGAAGGAGGCCCAGACACAGAGAGACAGTGCAGCAGGTAAGCTTTGCGTGCAGCAGGTAAGCTTTGCATGCAACTGCCCGGGTTCAATCCAGGACACCACATATGGGTCCCCCTGAGCACCACCAGGAGTGATCCCTGAACACAGAGCCAGGAGTAAGCCCCACAGACCAAAAAAAGCCAACAAAAGTTCAAAAAGGGAAGAAGGGAGCAGAGGACATTGAGGATCAAACAAAGTTTAGTTTGGAGTGTAAATTCAAAAGGAAAGTAAAACTGATATGGAGAGTACTTCTTAGCTGAGGACAGACAGATGAGAGGCAAAAAAAATATGACGTTCATGTGGCATCAGTGGATTGCAGCTTTTATGCCTAGGTCTGGTCAGCTTCTCTACATTAGTGAGCCTTGGCAATTTCATCCATGTCAGCTTTTTTTCATTTTTTTATAATTTTATTTATTGAATCACTGTGAGAGCAGTTACAAAGCTTTCAGGCCTAAGTCTCGGTCATACAATGAAACACCCATACCTTCACCAGTGCCCATTCTCCACCCCCAACAACTCCAGTATACCCCCATCCCACACCCTCCCCCTACCTGTGGGGCAGATGATTTCCACATTACTCTCTCTCTACTTTGATCACATTCAATATTTGGACACCAGACCCACCATTATTATTTGAGATTTTACCCTAACACTCAGATCTGCTGAAAAGGCAACAGTAGACAATTTGTTTTCTGTTGCTGATTATGAATAACATACGATGTCGCATGGCTGCAGTAGTTGAGTCAGGTTCTGGCTTGAATGAAGCTAAGGTACTAGGAGACCCGTTTCTCAGTCATACGCTCCTAGTATGACTTAGAGACAAATGTCTTGAGGTGCTTGTAAGTTTCCCCGAATTTGGGCTGGAGCATTAGTACAGTGGGTAGGGCATTTGCCTTGTGTGTGGTGGACCCGGGTTCAATTCCCAGAATCCCATATGGTCCCTGAGTGAGGGATTCCTGAGTGAGGAGTGAGGGCTAAGACTTGAGCATTGCTGGGTGTGACCCCCCAAAAGAAGTTTCCCCAAATTTTAATATGTGGATCTGAGCCTCTTCTTCCAATACTGTAGTCGATGCAAGAAATTCTTCCCAACCATCCTCATCCTCCTCGGAGTTCAAAAGATACACTGCTGAGTAAACCTCAAATTCTTTATTTATTTTTTTATTTTTATTTTTATTACTGAGACACCATGAGGTATGGTTGTAGACTTACAAATTTTTGTGCTTGGGTTTCAATTATACAAATTCTTGAGTGATTCAGAGAAACTACACAGAAAGGTGACACATGGCACTTCTTTATCCTTTAAGTCTTTCCCATCCCAGTACACATGCATGTATTATCACTGAGTTTGCATGTACTGTCAAACTGTCAATGAGCTGTCACTGTCCTCCCGTTGTTCATCGATTTTTCTCGAGTGGGCCCAGTAACATCTCCATTGTGAGACTTGGTTGTTACTGTGTTTGGTATATTGAATATGTCACGGGGAGCTTGCCAGGCTTTGCTGTGCGGGCGAGATACTCTTGATAGCTTGCTGGGCTCTCCAAGAGGGGCGGAGGAATCGAACTTGGGTTGGCTATGTTGACTGCGTGCAAGGCAAACGCCCTACCCGCTGTGCTACTGCTCCAGCCCTGTCAATGAGCATTCAACCTTATTTTTTAAAAAAATAATTTGTTAAATTTAATAACTGTGAATTATGAAGCTGCGAAGTTATGCAAGATTGAGTTTTAGATGTGCAATGTTCCAACATCAGTCGCTTCACCAGTGCCCACTTCCCTCCACCAGTGTCTCCAGTTTTCCTCATGATCCCAGCTTGTCTCTGTGGCAATACTTTTTTCTCCCCCACCCCTTTTTGGGATTGTGGTTTAAAATACTGTTACTGATAGGGGCTCATGCATGTCACTTTACTTCCTTTCAGCACCTAGCCCTGGTCCAGAGTAACCTCCTCCCTCTGTCATTGACTAGTGATCCCTTCCCTGCATTACACCATTTACGTGAAACACTCTGGACATTGATGTTCTTAAGAGTCTTACATGAGGGGACTGGAGCAATAGCACAGAGGGTAGGGCATTTGCCTTGCACGCGGCTGACCTGGTTTCAATTCCCAGCATCCTCTATGGTCCCCCGAGCACCGCTAGGAGTAATTCCTGAGTGCAAAGCCAGGAGTAACCCCTGAGCATCGCTGGGTGTGACACCCCCCCAAAAAAAGTCTTAGATGAGGAACAACTGTTCTGGAAATATCTAATACGGACACTGACATCTTTCGAAAACTTAATTTCCTTCAAGTTCACTCTTGAATCGAAAGTTAGATCTATGCCTTTTATTATCATCAAAAGCATAGTATTAGCTTTGCAAGCCATTGTCAAGCTAAGGTGCTGCACTCTTTTCTTCGTGGTGGTGAACAAGACTATCAACAAGTTGCAGTGATGCATCCTAGAAAGAAGTTTCTCCCAGTCCCTGTATAATAGAATCACTAACACTGATGCATGCTGCTTGAGTCAAGTCTGTTGGAACCCAAACACAAAGTTGGTAATAGCAGATTCCACATCAATGACTTTCCCATTTGAGGAACGATAGATACAGTCTGACTTTTGGCACAAGGTCCTCAGGCTTGTAGTCTTGAAATCCTGTCCTCCCATCCTAAAGTCACACTTTCTGGTGCTCTTTTTACTGTCAATTGGAGGGAGTGGGTTGAAAAGTCGCGACTGTACGTGTTTTCTGTGCTAATCTGAGAGCTGGACTCAACCCCAGGCTGTGGGTCACTTACACACAGAGATCTCATTGTAAGGGAAGAGGAAAATGGCAGCTCCTCAGCTGCACTTTGAAATTCTGCATTTAAAAAAAACACTAAGTATTCATAAGCCTCTTACTTCATGAATGAATCCCTTTGTATTTACATCCTTCACAACTTGGAGAACAAATAGGGTTTAGTTACTAGAAAGTGAAAACTTAGAGTTCATCAGGATGGGGCGAAGAGAGGAGGACTAGTAGGCAATTTAGATGAACAATGGTTTCATCCCTATTTCTTGATACCTGCTCCTACAGGCACACCGAGCGATGCTTAATTTTTCTGTGTCTTCATATCCAGTTTAGGATGAAGGATTAGGATTGGCCCAAAGGGGCTGCAAGATGTCAACCCACAGGAACCTGTACTCAGCTGACTGTATCCTCACCTGAAAATCAGGAGACAAGGGAATGGAACGAGTGAAACTTGGGAATTGCCAGTTAGCCGTGAATGACCACACTACTTTTTGCCACGTGCCTTCTTCATCTAGCTCTCTCTGATTTTATCTAAGATTGGAGCTTACATCTCTAGAATGAATAAAAACCATTCAGCAAGCATTTCATTTTAGAGATCCGACTCTATCAGTATGGATCCAAAAGAAAATTTCAAGTTTGACGGGATTTCAAACTGGAAGTAGGCTAAATACATACATTCTTGGGTTCTCCCACTCCTAAGGGTAGTTTCAAGAAGCTCCTCAATATTAATTAGTAGACTGTGAATTCAGTTCTATGCAATTATGATGAGCCAGTTTGGGGAGTCTGAAAGAGCCAACTTATCATATTTTTGAATTACTCATCTAGAAGCCTGAATATTTTTGTATTTCCATATTTCTCGAGTAGCACTTAATTTCATCTTAGCCCCATTTCTTTCAATAAACCATTGTTGCGTCTCATAAGCAGCACAGCTTCTTCCTCTAACTCATCTCCCCGTGAAATTGGTTTAATGAAGCAGAAAGGTATGAAGCATTAGCAACAGTGGAATCCATGTGGTAGCACTTCATTTTTCAGAGGCACTCACATTTCCACCCTAATTTATAAAATCAGCACACAAATGATTTTTATCACGGCCATTACATCAGTATAAATTACTGCCTTTTCTATAACACGGCAGTTAGTCAAACTGTTGAAGTGATATCTATTAGTCAAGGGATGGGGGGGAGAGGTGGGAAAGAGTTAGTGAAATGAGGGCTGATGGTTGTCTTACGGCAACACTAATATTAATTTACCATAATGAACACCGATGGGGTTATTTTGCAAACGTACAGATGAAAATTAAATGCAC